TGACCAAAGAGTTGTCACCGATAGCCTCGTGGGCAGCGCGTCGACATGTCCCGTGTTCGAGTCCCGGCTCGCGGACCTTTCCCGATCCCATCCCCCCACACACGCACGCACGCGCGTGCGCGTGACGTACGGCAGAAACGCGAGCCGGTTGTAAGCCTGCTGTTGTCATGCAGGTGTGTGTTACCTGCGTCAGAAACCGGAGCCGCGGTGAGCAGGTAGAGTGCAGCAGTAATGATGATGAGGCTCAGGTGAGCGATGATCACAGACTGGATCTGCCAGTGTTTCTGCGTCTGTAACAGCCGCTTCGTCCTCTTCAGCATGTCCTGTAGGTACACACACTGTCTCTGTCTCTGCTCGGGTTAAGAGTTCTGCTGGCTTTCTTCTCTTCTAGTTCTCACGCTTCATCAAGCTGTTTCAGGCTCTGTGATTGTCATATATAGAGGATTGTACTGGATATGCATGTGTGCTTTAGACATGGACATTTCTCCTTCTCCTTTTTATTATCCTTATATGCATTGCATCACAAACATGACAAAACTGCAGAAAATTCAAAAACTAAATTTCACTGTAAATGCATTTGTGTTCAGTTTGAGATCTTTTATATAAGCATTGCATTTCACGTTCACAGTTTTATGTGTTCATGATATACAGTGTGAGTAGGACTGTAACATCTTAAACTAGCAGTGCAAAAAAGTACTTTCATGCTCAGTATTTTTGTCTTAAACTTTCTTAAATTAAGCTACTTTTATTTGAGATGCAAAATGACAAAGGTTTCTTGTTTTCTTAAAAATATTGCAATTAATTTATGCTTAAAATAAGCAAGCAAGCACAGAATTGTGGTGCATTATACAGCACATTTCACACACAATGGTGATTCAAAGTGCTTTACATAAAAAGGATTTAAAATAATCATAAAATAATACAAACAAATGCATAAGAAATAACAATTAAAGCAAAGAATTAAAAAAAAGATTACATTTTGATTTTAAATGTTTTAAAACGGTTAAGAATAAAAAGAAAATAATGCATAAAACAAGAATAAATATCTGCCAGTGGGCTCAGAAAAATAATCGTGTTTTCCCTTTGAATTCAGGTGAGTTTCTGAGCCCACTGGCAGATATTTGTTCTTGTTTTAAGCTTAAACTCACGTCAGTTTAATACAGTTTTTTTTAACAAGCCTGTTTGGTTTGGTTGTCAGAACATTCCTATTTGGTTGTTCAGTGTGGTTGCTAGGTGTTCAGTGTGGTTGCTAGGTGTTTTCTTCTGATTTAAATGAGTCTGAGATCTTCTGGTCTGTATATAGAGGTTTCACTTCATCACTATCAGCACTTGTACTAGTGATGGTTGACTTAGTTCACTAACTAGTCAGAGATTACTGGAACCTTTCTTTCTGTAGCGCTTTATACAATGCAGAGTTTTTCACAGCAGCTTCAGATCATGTTTGCTGTGTTCATGAGAGAGCGATAGTGTGTGTGTGTGTGTGAGTGTGAGAGTGTGTGTGTGTGTGTGTGTGTGTGAGAGAGAGAGAGGTGTGTGTGTGTGTGTGTGTGTGTGTGTGTGTGTGCGTTTTTGTGACAAATGAGGACATACATTTGTATAATGACAAGGGTATGACATAGGTATAAGAAGGAGAAGGTGACTTTTCAGGACATTACCCCATGTCCCCACTTTTCAAAACACATATAAATCACACAGAATGGAGTGTATTGAAAATCTGAAATAGCACAAAGTTTCCTGTGAGGGGTAGGTTTAGGGGTAGGGTTGGTGTAGGGCAATAGAATATACAGTCTGTACAGTATAAAAACCACACACACACACACACACAAACACATACACTCACATACACAGATACACACACAGATACACTAACAGACACACACAGATACACTAACAGACAGACACACACACAGACATACACGCGCGCGCACACACACACATACACCGATACACACTCACACACACTCACACACACAGATACACACACACTCACAGACACACACACGCACACTCACACACACACACACACGCACACTCACA